TCTACCCCACAGGGCCGTCACAGGCTGCAATGAGCTCACTCCACAAACAGGCTCACTGTGTGCCAGGCCCTGTTCTAGGCGCTGGAGCTGCATCAGCCAACAAAGCAGACCAGGAGCTTTGCACGCCTCAAGGAGCACAACAAAGGAGGATATTGCACCACGTGTTGGAGGCGGCTGGTGCCAAGGAAACAAAGGAAAAGCAGAGCAAGGGGAGGGGTTAGGAGTGAGGGGTCGGAGTGCAGACTGCATGGACTACATCCCCTGGTACAGGTGGGCCTCACTGAGAAGATGACTTCTCGACACAAAAATAGAACACAGTGACTTAGTATGTGGGGAGGAGCATCCCAACTGGATGATGCAGCTGGTGCAAAGGCCCTGGGGTGGAAGTGTGCACAGTGTGCCACCTCGAGGACAGTGTGGCTAGGGGAGTGGGTGCCAGGGAAAGGACAGGAAGGGCGAGGAGTGAAGCCACAGGGAGAGGCAGATGGTCTGACCCGGCCCGCCACGGCAGGGTCACCCGCGTTTTTGTAGAGTGAAGCAGGAGCCACTGCAGGGTTCTGAGCAGTGCGAGAGAGCTCTGAGTTCTGTTTGAGAAGACTCCCTCCATTGTCATATTGAGAACCAGTGTCTGGAGAATATGCAGCCAGCATCTGGCACACGAAAAGCAGGTGATAACATATGGCTAATTATTCGTTATTAATAGCATCAACTCGCACAGCAAGCAGGAACTACCTCACCCCACAAGGTGGTTCAGGTGGAGAAGATCCGCCAGCCTGAACGGTAGCTAAGGTGGAACTGCCTCCGGCTGCCGGGAACCTCCCCTTGCATACCTCTGCCCGCTGGCCGTCGCCTGTGCTTGGATGCGGCAGGGCACGGGGAGAGGGGATGGCAGCCTCCCTGGCGGGCCACTGCTCCGGGGTCAGCTCTTGCCCTCAGAGCTCTAGCCTGGAATTTCTGCATTCCTAGCATCCCATTGATGGTCCAGCATCTGTAGCACAGTGCAAGTCTGCCCCCTCCAGAAGCTGAGGACAGAAGTGGGGCCCTGCAGGGTCTTAACGCCCCCGGGTCCGAAGCGGCTTCTCAGGACAGGTGGGTTCTCCATGACAAAGCTCCCTGGCAGCCGCAAGGCAAGGACCGAAGGTGCTCGAAACTGATCTGGGGCCCTCGAAGGAGAAGGTCCAGGGAAAGCGGAGGTCCCACACATCTCCCCTGTTCCTAGGGGAGCGCTTGGCCATCGAGGCTTGTGGCTGAACAACCTTGATCTGGGGCCAGAACAACTCCTTGGCCATACATGAGAAAACTGCAGCCCCCACGAGGCAGGAAGAAGGGCGTTGTCCAGGGGCACCGCGCTGCCGAGGGCAGAGCTTGGCGAGGCGCGCATCCTCTTCCCTTCTGAGGCTGTGCCTGGCAGCCCGCACCGGAGTGGCTGCTGGATGTACTTTCCCTTTCGGATTCCTTTGCCTCCACCCCCCAGGGAACCCGCCGGCCGGGGCAGCGACGGCGGCGGCGGGGGGGTGGGGGGGGGTGCGCAGGGCAGGCAGGAGGCCCCCAGATGCGCAGGGGTGCCCCACCCTAACCTCAGGGCAGAGCTGGGGCGGAGTAGGGACAGAGACACTGAAATCCACTGCCTGGGGACTCCCGCCGGCAAGGGAAAGGAGAGCGCTAAGCGGAGCGGTGAGGGTAGCCCCCTGAACCTCTGTGTGCCCCGTCGGAACCGCGCGTCCGCTCCACGCTCTCCTTCGCAGCCACACCGCACTCTCTCCCGTGGCTGTGGAGGAGACAGGCTCCGGGCGCAGGCTGGGGCGGTGCCGGAATGCAGGGGGGCTACAAGACGCGACTGGGGACTCGCTCTCCGCCCCCTGTCGCCTGGGGATCCCGCTTTGCGCCAGGTATCAAGGAGGACCGAGGCCCTCGAAAAGCGGCGATCCGGCGGCAGGAACCCCGCCCCCGCCCAGAACCCTCCGGAGCCCAGAGTCGTGCCCGGCGCTCCGCACCCCACCCCACCCCCGCCGCCTCTGCCGTCACTCACGGCCGCCGCTCGCTGGCTCGCCGGGGCGCTCTCCGCGCCACAGGCACCTGCTCGCCGGGCGCTGTGCGCGCACTTCTCGCTCACACACTGCAGACTCTCGGCGTCGCCACCGTCACCCGGCCTCGTCCCCGGCCCCGCACAGCGCTCCGCCCTTCTCCCGGGGCCCCGGCGCCCATCCACCCGCCATGGCCCGGGCCTGGGCCAAAGAGCGCTGCCGCTCGTTGCCCAAACCGGGGTAAGGAGTTGAAGGCTGGGGCCTGCGGAGAGGGCCGCGGGACACACGGGGAGAGGAATGAGCGAAGGAGCCTGGGAAGAAGCCAGGGAGAGTTTGGGTGGGAGGACCCCCCAAACCAAAGAGGGTGCGGGGCGGGGCTGCGCTCCAACCAGAGGCGGTGGTCCCTCCGAGCGACCCCCGCGGAGGGAGGGGGCGCGCTCCAGGGCGGGGGCGGCGCGGGCCGTGGCAGGCGAGGGGAGGGGAGGGCGGGGGTGGTGCAGCGGCGGAGGCGGCTCGGCGCCCAGCCACTGACCGCCCCCTTCCTCCCCCTCCCCTCTCCTCCCCTCCCCCTCTCCCCGCCTCTCTCCGGCTTCGGGTCCGCCACGCCGGACCCGCTTTCCCCGCGCTGCGCTGGGTCGGACGCCAGGTCTGCGCGCCGCGGCTGAGCGCCCACTCGCCTTGCGGAGAAACCGGCGGGGGCGGCGGCGGGAGAGCTCGGCAGGAGCTGGAGGAGGTGGCAGTCGGAAGCCGAGCCAGAAGGAGACGAGGAGGCAGAAGCTCGCGGCTCGGAGGCGCACACTCCCCCGGCCAGGGATGGGTGCTGGCGCAGCCCGGCCCCTGCCCGCTTGGCCGGGCGAAGACTGAACGGCGTTCCCATCATCGTCCTGTGGACGCCCAGACCAAGATAGGTCCTTCCGGTTCGCTCCGAGCTCCGGGCGGGACCTGGCTTTCCACACCTTCCCGTGCAACCGCCTCCCCTCTGGAGCCGCACGGGCAAATCGGCGAGGGGAGCGGGGCTGATTGGCGGCCGCCGGCGGCCAGGGGAGGGGGCGCCGCGCGGGGCCATGGCAGGCTCCGAGGCGTCCTAGCCCGAGCCGGAGCCGGAGCCGAGCCCACGCTGCTGCCACCGCCGCCTCTCCGCGCCCGGGCCCCCGCTGCCGCCGCGCCCCCCGCGGGAGATGGAACATCGGAACCGGCGCGGCGCCCTCGGATACCTGCCGCCTCTCCTGCTGCACGCCCTGCTGCTCTTCGTGGCCGACGGTGAGCGCGGGAACTTTGCTGCCGCGGTGGGCTCGGGGTGTTCTCGCCGGGGGCCGCTGGAGCCAGCCTTGCCCGGGCCGCCGCGGAGGAGGAAGAGACGGGGACGGTTTCTGCAGCAACCGGCAGTGTGCAGCCGGGGCTCGGAGGGGTAGGGGAGGAGAGCCGCGAAGGGTCGCTGCAGCGCCCGCCCCCGCCGCCTTCGGAGTCCGGCGGGCTCGGGCTGCGGCGAGTAGGCCTGCTGGGAGCGGGAGCCGGCGCGCCCCAGCCTGGCTTGGGGGGTGCGGCCCAGAGCGGGAGAGAGGCGTGAGCCGCCCCGCCTGCTCCGGAGGGAGGCAGTCTGTGGCCGGTGGCCGGTGCTTGCTGCCGCCCCGCAGCTGCTCGACCGAACTTTCCAAGCGCCGCCGGTCGTGCGCCACGGAGCAGCTGCGGGGGTGTGGGCGGCACCAGGCCAGCGAGCTCCAGACCGGCCGCCGCGCCTCGGGTTGCCCCAGCCCCCCGCCCTCCAGCTGGTCACGCCTCCCCCCCGCCCCCAGCTACATTCACTGAAGTCCCCAAAGATGTGACGGTACGGGAGGGAGACGACATCGAGATGCCCTGCGCGTTCCGGGCTAGCGGAGCCACCTCGTATTCGCTGGAGATTCAGTGGTGGTACCTCAAGGAGCCGCCCCGGGAGCTGCTGCACGAGCTGGCGCTCAGCGTGCCCGGCGCCCGGAGCAAGGTAACTGGCCGCCCCCGCGGCGTCTCGCTCGCGGGCTCGGGCCGGGGGTGGGGGTGGAGGCTGCCAGGGTGACCCGAGGAGGCCGGCACCGGGGCTGGTGCAGGCGGGGCGCCGCCCGGTGGTGCGACAGAGTCCACCCCACCCCCGCACCTTCCGAGTCAGCCGTTGTTACCCGCCCCCCTGCATCCTGCCAGTGCTTTGCACAGTTTCCCTTCTCCCGCAACCTCTCGGAACGCCGATCCCTCCTAGCCTCTAAAGAGCCACACCTCACCGGGCTCTCCCGCCTTGCGAGCTGCAGGCGTCTAACGGGTGCTGAGTGATGAAGGCAGACCCCTTAGTGCCTGCCCTCTGCCACTGTGAGGTTCCCAGGGCACAGGGCCAACGAGTTAAGCTCCTCCGGGCTGCGTTCCAGAGGCCCGCAGAGAATCGTGTGCAGGGAAGGCGGCAGGTCACCTCCAGCGCCCCGGGGCTCAGCGGGGCGGCCTGCCTGGCGCGGAAGGCGGCCCACGTTCCCCGTCTGCCTCCTAAGCCGCGCTGTCCTACGCAGTCTAACGCACACCTACACCTGCACCTACCTGCGCACCTACCTACATTCTCCCCAGGCTTCCTTCTAGAATTACTGCTCCTGTCCCTACTGGGTCGGTCCACACACACCGGCCAGCCCATCCAGTGTTTCACGGCTCCAACTTACACGGAGGGTTTGGAGGAACCGGACGAGGGAGATGCGCCCTCCCTCCCACCCTGGCGGGCGGCCAACCTCGCTCTTAAGCCGGCGCGCTACGGCAGCCCTTCGGTCCCATGCCAAACTAGCTCCAGACCCCGCTTCCTCGCGGATCCACTCCTGGAATCCCCGCCACACCCCGGTGACTTTGGGTCCCAGGCGCGCGTGCAGGGTCCCGAGCCGAAGGCCGCGGGTCTAATGTCTGTCTCTTCCTCTTTGCGTTCCAGGTAACAAATAAGGATGCAACTAAAATCAGCGTAAGTGTGGAGCCCAGCGCGGCCCGCGGGAGACCCCTTCTGGCCGCCGCGTGCCCCGCAGCTCCCTCCCCTTTAGAAAGCCTCGGCTGCCGCGCCGCGTAGGGCAGAGCTCGCAGCCGCGCTTTGTTGGCTGCCTGGCGTTTCGCGGCGCCATCTGTCGCCAGCAGCGGGCTCGGGTTCTCTTTTGTGTAAATCAAGAATCCGAGGCCCAAGTCCCGGAACTCAGCTTGGCGCTCACCTGTAAAACTCCCGCGCGTCCGCTGTTTGCTCCTGGGTGCTTGCTACCTGGCACTGCTTGCAGTTCTTGGCGCGCGCGCTCGAGCGCGCGACTGTCGCCCTCGCCGCGACCCGTGCCCCGGCTCCCCGCCGGGCACGCGCGCTCCGCGGCCCCCTTCGCTGCAGCTCTCGTCTCCCACCGGCTTGCAGGTGTGGGCACGGCGTGCTGTGGGCTCACGGGGGAGTTATGGTAGCGGGCAGGCTTGCTAGGATGCGCGGGGCCCGGGTCTCGGGTTTCATAACTCTGGGAGGAGCTGCGCCCAAGCTTTCTCGGCTGGAGCGTGGCAGCCTCAGACGCCGAGGGCCTCCTCGTCGGCTCGCTGCAGAGGTGAGGGCTCCCCGGGTGCTCCGGGAAGACCACAAAACCGGTCCTCCCCCGCGTCTCCGCCAGGCCGCAGGCGGAGGAGCGCTTTGTGGCCGGCTGCAGGCGATCGGGCTCGGCAAGGCGAGTTCATAACAGGCACCAGGGGGTCAGGTAGAGCCGTGGCATCGACTGTCTTCTCGGGAGGGCGAGTTAGCTGTGAAGGATGGGGACCAGGGGGCAGGCGTTTGCCCAGGGCAGGCCGGCTGTCCTTGGGATACGACCCCAGAGCCTGAGGTTCTAGATAAGAGGGACGCCAGCGAAGGGGTGGAGGGGCACACATGGGCGAATGGCTCCGCTGGAGCGCGTCGCTGCGGGAACGGCGCGGGGCTGTCAGTGAACAGGCAGCCCTTGAAGGAGGGAGGAGGGGTGGGTCTGCCTTGCCTAGGCAACGTAGGTTTGTGGGGGCGGAGGTGCAAAATGAGGCGTTTGGTTACGATGAGGACCTTGGGGACGTAGTGCAAAGGGGCAGGGCCGGCCCTTATGCAAGCAGGGTTGGGAGCCCCCACGCCCCTGCGGAGGTCCGGGTGACGGTACAGAAACCCGCCCGGGGAGGGTTGGGATGCGCCAGCGAGACGCGCGGGTGGCGAGGGCAGGCCTCGGGACCTGCCCCGCCGGGCTGCTAACCCCGCTCTCTTGCAGACGGTGCGCGTCCAAGGCAACGACATCTCGCACCGGCTCCGGCTATCGGCCGTCCGGCTGCAGGACGAGGGCGTGTATGAGTGCCGCGTGTCCGACTACAGCGACGACGACACGCAGGAGCACAAGGCCCAGGCGCTGCTGCGCGTGCTCTCGCGCTTCGCGCCGCCCCACATGCAGGCCGCCGAGGCCGTGTCCCACATCCAAAGCAGCGGCCCGCGACGCCACGGCTCCCCCGGCGCAGCCAACGCCAACGCCAACGCCGCGGGCGCCGCGGGCCGCACCACCTCGGAGCCCAGTCGCGGCGACAAGAGCCCGCCGCCCGGGAGCCCTGCCGCCGCCCCCGGGCCCAGAGTCCCCGAGGCCGCCGTCGCCTCCGCGGCCCACACGGCCGCCACCACCGTCGCGGCCACGGCTGCTGCTTCGTCGGCGTCGCTGCCACCCGGCCAGGCTGTCCTTCTGCGCCAGCGGCACGGTTCGGGTAAGGGCGGGCGCGCCGAGGGGCGCGCAGGCGCGCGGGAGGGCGGTGGCTGCGGGAGGACGCGCGGGACCGGAGAGTGCCGCCTCGCGGTGGTTAGCGTGCGCGCTTGCCGGGCGCTTCCCCCGCCCCGGTTGCGCCGTCTTTCGCGTTCGCGACGGGTTGTTTGTGAGTGTCCGGGCGGCCTCCGAGTGCCGCGCCCTGGCCTGGGTTTGGAAGTCTGGACCCGGGACGCGCCAGCCTCGGCGGCGATGGCCAGACCGGTTTCGCGAGTCTGAGCCTGGAGAGGGGCTGTCCCCGCGCCAGGGCGCTCGCTCCTGCTTGAGAGCGCGAGGGAGAGCGCGATTGAGATCTGGGCCCTGTTGTTCTCCGTGCTGCTCACGTGGATTGACCAGACTGCCTCCGCGCCGGCGTGGGTGGCCGTGTCTGAGCCTCTGACTGTGGTTGAGGTGGGATGATCCCAGGCGCGGCCCTGCACCCTGCTGTCCGTCACTGCTCCAGCGCCCCTTGGGCCGCTGCGGGGCACGGGGTGTTAGGGAGGGAGCCCTGTGCCATGGTGGGGAAGACCCGCGAAGGTTAAAGCCTCGTGTCCCCAGAGGCGAGCTGATGAGTGCGATGTGCCAGCAGCAGGAGAGGAGACCCCACTGACTGCCGGGACAGACACTCCCAAACAGGAGGGGCATCCAGCCTTAGTGGGGTGCGGGGAGGGTAGACAGGCCTACTGCTCCTGTGCCCCTCCTCCTGAGGCGTTCCCTGCTCCCTAAAGGAGGTGGGCTGTCCTCCTACCTTCACTGCAGGGCCTGAGTTCAAGTCACTCCTTCCCTGAGCCCCATGCCTGGTCTCCTGTGATGCTCCAAGCAGGGAAACAGTTGGGACCGCCTGTCTGTCTTGCACAGCACTTGTCTTTCCCTCAATTACACCTGCTTTGGGGACCCCCTAGTGCATCTCAGGGTCTGTAGGCCCCTTCTCTCTTCAGCTGCACACATGGACCCCCCAAGACTCCCCTCCAGGCTACGGTGGGGGGGGGGGGTGGCGTAGCAGCTGGAACGTGGAGGGTCAACCTCCTCCTGGCTTGCAGCTTTCCACCTGCTGGGTTAGCCCTAGATGCTGTGGCAGATAAACCTCAGAATGGCGGTGGATGGGCACAAGACAAATGTATTATTTCTTGCTCACATCAGTCCTGTGCTGGAGAGTGCAGGGGCTGCATTGCATGCAGTCGTTAAGAGACTTCATTCGGCAAGTGGCTTCCAGAGTCACTCGGAGAGACAAGGCGTGGAAGCAGCCCTTCTGGGCCCAGTTCCCCCAGAAAATGAAGCCCTCCTGCCTAAGACAGGGATGGGGCGGGGCGGGGTGGGGAGGGGGAATCCCACCCGCAGGTTGTAGAAGGCCCGGAAAATCACAGACGGCAACCACAGGCAGAATTCAAAATTCTAGCAGGCTCATTTTTTACGTTGGTAACTTTGTACGTCCAGCAGGTGATGTTCTAAAGGTCCAAGTGGCCTTTGGCAGAGAAGAGGTTCCCGACCCTTTTCAAAGGCATGCGTTGTGTATAAGGATCAGCCCCTTTCTTTGCACTGGGAGAGGCCCCAAGTCCATCTCATTCTTGGGCGAGTGGGAAGGACGCTGCTCGGCATTCTGGCAGAGAAGGGAGGAGGGCGCGGTTGCTGTTTGCAGGCCAGGACAAGGCATGGGAGAGATTGCTTCTGCCTCATCTGCGGTCTCGTGGCTGGCCCTAGGTACAAGGCCCCCTGGGCCTGGCAGCTGCTTTCCCATTGCAGCTCTTGGCAGTGGAAAGGGAGCGTGGAGCACTGGAGGAGTGAGCCCTCTCTGTCCAGCACCCAGTAAGAGGCTGGAGAAGTGCTGACTGACTTCTAGAGTGACTGACTTAGCTGATGCTAGTTGGGGAGAAGACCCTCCCACTGCGAACCTTTGGGCTCTGTGCTGCACAGGCTGAGATACGCCCCCAGCTGCTCCCCAGGTTGTGAGCAGGATTTGGAAGGCAGAGGCTAAATGTGAGTTGTACCTCCAGCAGCTTGCTGGCTGTGTGACTCCAGGCAAGTGGCTTAACCTCTCTGAGCCATCTGTAAAACAGGGTAATCCCTGACCTCAGAGGGAGCGTGGTATTGCTGTGCATGTAGGCTCATTGTTATCGCTATAGCCATGAGTTATTCTGGCTGCAGAGGAGGGGATGAAGGAGATAAAGTTAAGGCTGGCTGTTGCAGGCCAAACCAAAGAATGGCAATTGGAGACTACAGGATTGGGCAGAGGCTTTGGTCAAGGATGTACCAAAGGAAAGAGATCTTTGTTTTTCAAAAGATTTGTTTATTTCAAAGGCAGAGTTACAGAGAGAGGGAAAGACAGAGAGATCTTCCTTCTGTTGATTCACTCCCCAAATGGTCATAACAGCTATGGCTGCGCCAGGCTGAAGCCAGGAGCCTGAAACTCAATCCAGGTCTCCCACATGGGTGCAGGGGCCCAAGCACTTGGGCCGTCTGCTGCTGCTTTCCCAGGCCCATTAGCAGGCAGCTGGATGGGAAGTGGAGTAGCCGGGACTTGAGCTGGTGCCTGTATGGGATGCCAGCACCGCAAGCAGCAGCTTCACCCACTGTTCCACAATGCCAGCCCCCAGGAACGAGATCTTGAAGAGTGAACTTGGTAGTGCCCACAGAATGGTGATAAGTTCAAGATCATAGCTCATTCCTGCTTGAATGTCTCTCTTCCCCTGGCCAAAGCCTGACCCCTGAGCTCAACCAAGACTGGTCTGACTGCCTGGCCTAGCTACAAGGGTCTGAGGAAGAGAGAGTGGGGGCGCTCCAGGGCCTGTCACCCACATAGCAGGGATCCCATCCATGGAAGGTGGGGTGGACAGTGCCTTCCTTCCTGGAAGATAAGGGGTCTTTATGTCAGCTCAATTCTGGTGGCATAGTGTCCAGGGCCATCCCAGGAGTGGGGCCTTGGGCTCCTTCCAGCCTCAGGACAGAATGCTAATGTCTGCGTAGGTCAGGGCGGCAGCCTGGGCTGGCAGCTTCTCTCTGCCTTCCCTGGAGCTGAAGTAGTGCCAACGGGGAGCCAGCAAACTCACAGGGCAGTACCTCTGGGATAGGGATGCAGTGGCTCCTGGAGTCTCTGCCACCCTCTGGGCCTTGCCAGCTCCTGAACAAGCCAGGAACAGTGTAGACACCTGAGCAAGAACCCCGAGTTTCTCTCCTGCTCCCTTCTGGAAGACCCAGAATGTGGGCCTTCAGCTAAGAGGTCAAGAAAGCTGCAGCCCCTCCTGCCCTGTAGGAGGGTCCCTTTGCTGTGAGCACCTGTGTGTCCCACTCTGCACAAGGAGTGGATTCCACAACCGCTGGTCCACAAACACACTGCACAGCCCCGATCCCAAGGAGGGGACCACGTCCAGGCCAGTGGCCCATCTCAGCTCGGCTGCTTCAGACCACCCGGGCTGTGGGCTGTAATAACTGCTTGCTAGTGCTGTGTTGCCCAGCAGTGCCCCAAGCTCAGCTGCTGGTGCTGGGTGCTACCCAGCCTCCCTGGAGGCAGCAGGCCAGCCGGTTGCTGGAGAGGCGGCCTGGCACCTGCATTTCACCATTCTCAGCAGCTTGGTGGCAAGGGGGTCAGAAGGGACTTCCGTGTCTGGGTGGAGGGACACTTGTAGCTATAGGGAGTCTCAGCTAGGGTGCTGGCAGAGGCAGCCATCACCGGCACTCAGGGGCCCCCAGGGGCATGGACAGAGGGCACAGGGGAGGCTGCAGGTCCCCAGGGTTGCAACTCCGAGAGAAGAGCGGTGTGACAGAGCTGCCTGAGAGGAGAGATGGCCACAGGGGAGGGACACAGCCAGCACACGGTGCCCCAGCAAGGCCCTCACGCTCCTCCTGTCTGCCGTTCTTCTCCCAGGGCTTCCAGTTGGCAAAACCCTCCTGGAGCCAAGGGCACCAGGCGATGCAGGCTTTACAGGTGGGCCTCCAGGGCCTTGGAGCAGAGCAGAGCAGGGCGGATGGAGGATGGGGGGGGAGCTCATCCCTGGCCTGGGAGGAGCACTGTGGCTGTGTCAGACTGGTGATTTCGGCAGTGGTCCCAGCCCCAGGATGGCAGTGACAGTGACAGCAAGCCTGTGTCTGTTCAGGGGACTGCTCTGCCCGTGCCAGAAAGGACAGAGCAAGCGTCGCTCTCACCTTCCTCTTTGAGCTACGGCTGCAGCCAGGCAGCCAGCCCAGGCCCCATATGTGCCCAACCCAGCCAAATACATATTTGCACTAAAAGTTTATGTGCAAAAACTCATTCGTTTCACGTCTCATTTGTCAAGAGACATTTTGGTATTTGTGCTTAAAAATAAACATGGGCTGGATTAGCCAAGCACAGCCGGCGAGGGAGGCTGGGCGTCTTCCTCGCCATGTCCGTGAATCCGGCTCCTAATTAATCTGAACGCTGACCCATTTTTCACGAACACTTTGTTGCTGGTTGCCGTTTCAGGGAGAGGGAGGGAGGGAGAGAGAGAGAGAGAAAGAAAGAATATGAAGAAATATCTTCCAAACACTTCTAACCTGGAAAGACACTGCAGCGGCGTGCATCCAGTTTGCAACTGAACAGCTCATGTGTTGGCAAGAGGTTCCCCAGCAAAGAGACCTCAGGACCAGACCTGTGCCGTGTGAGCCTCCAGTGAGCCTGGGGGCTCTGGCTCCAAAGACAGGCACCGTGGCCGCCACAGGGCGACAGCTGGGTGTGGTAGACTGCTGCCCGGTACCCACATGGACAACTGGTTCTCCATATTTCAGTTATTAATGAGAGAAAGACAGCCAAGGCCATGGGTGTGACGGCTGCTGGGAACCATGAAGGGGGAGCATCCTTGGGCGTCGCCATGGCAACCATAAACCGTGACCAAAGGGGGCTGTGGGCAAGGTGAAGACACTCGCTGCATCTCGACCTGCGCCCCGGGGTGGATGACAAAGCCGGGGAAGTGGTGCCGGCACAACCCTAGCAGACCGTGATGCTGCCCACACGGT